CGGCGGGCACTGGGCCTTTCTGTCATTATCTGGGTTTGATTTTCTACTGGGATTCAGAGCGGCAAGGCAGGGGGTTAAGAACCATCCTTCACCAGTCCCATGGGGAGGGAAGGAGGAGCACTCTTAGGCCTGGAGGGAGGGAGGGAGGACAGTCCTGGGGCTCCCACCCCATATCTGCCCTGGGAAGGAGACACAGCCACAGAGGTCGACTGTGCAGTGCTGGGGCCAGCACCCACCCTGCTGCGGTGAGTCCACCCCACCTGACCCCACCCCGCCTCTGTGGCCAGAGTGACTCACAGCATTGAAGAAGTTTCGGAACTTGTGCTCCTCAAAGCCGGCAGCCAGGAGGTCCTCTGGGGTCTGTAGTACACGCTCCTTGAACCTAGAGGGGGTTGACGGGTCTTAGAGGACAGAGAGGGGGTGCAGGTGACAGGTGTTCACCGCGTGGCCAACTGATTGCCATGGTCACACAGTCACACTCACTCAACACCACGGTCACACACACTCAGCCCCAGTCACACACTCAACACACACCACAGTCACACACTCAACACACACCACGGTCACACACAATCAACACCACAGTCACACACATCAGCACCACGGTCACACACTCAACACACACCACAGTCACACACTCAACACACACCACGGTCACACACAACACCACAGTCACACACATCAGCACCACGGTCACACACTCAACACACACCACGGTCACACTCAACACCACAGTCACACTCAGCACCACTGTCACACACTCAACACACACCATGGTCACACACTCAACACACACCACAGTCACACACACTCAACACCACAGTCATACACATCAGCACCACGGTCACACTCAACACCACAGTCACACTCAGCACCACCGTCACACACTCAACACACACCACAGTCACACTCAACACCACAGTCATACAGTCAGCACCACGGTCACACTCAGCACCACGGTCACACACTCAACACACCATGGCCAGGCTGAACAGCACAGTCACTCGGCGCCACAGTCGGCAGGCGGACTTGACAGACCCACGTGAGGCTGCTGGGTGTTTGCATCTCGCAGCGACTTACCAGGCTCCAGGCTGACTCAGCAGTCCAGAGGCCATCGAGCCCCCACCTGTCCCTTGTCACCCTAACTCAGCCATAGCAGGCAGGCATCGGAACACATCAGATGCCCCTGCCTCCACCAGGCAGCCCTCAGTGCCCACTCACCTGAGAACCTCCCTGCTCCTCCCCAGCAAAGACTCCAGGTAGGAGTAGCCCAGGGCCCTGTAGAAGCAGTTCCCGTCTCCTTTGATCTTCCGGATTGCGCTGAACCGTTTGCTGAGTTCCTGGGAGGGCAGGGGTGGAAGGGTGGGGGTGGTGTGGTCAGTGCCACCCCACTTCCCGCTCACTCATTCTACCAACAGCACAACACTTGGGTGTGTGCCTGTCTTCAGGGGGTGCAGGGCAATCCGATGGCAGCCTTGTAAGGACAGGGGACTTTCTGCGTTGGGGTGCCAGGAAAGCGGCATCTACAAGAAGCGCCAGCTCGCAGTCCAGGAAGGCTTCCAGGAGGAGTAGTGGAGGACGGGGTGCGGAGTTCAGAGTTCAGCCTGGCTGGGAGTGGGAGCCTCAGAAGTAAGTGCCATCACCTGCACCATCCAGCCAACCCTTCTCCAGAACGGCCCGGGCAGCTTGAGCCCCAACGAGGGCAGTGGGAAGGGGCAGGAGATAGGGCCACCTGAACCCCGGAGGCCAGCGGAGGGAGCGGACGAGGGCTGTGACTGAGGGGATTGCCGCTGGTGTGCTGAAAGTTGTTGAATGGGAAGCAGACTGGCTCTGTAAGCTTTCACCCAAATCACCAAACAGAAAACCGCCCCAAGCCAGAGCAGCGAGCCCACTGCCTGTCCCAGAAGCCCCTGCTGGCCCGTGGGCGGCTACAGTAGGGGTGTGCACAGCAGAGGAGGGCTTTCAAGCAGTGGGGCATTTGTTCTCACTGAAACCACAGCCATCAGAAGGCATAGAGCCCACCCTGGCCCAGGGCACACAGAGGGGTGAGGAGATGTCTTGTGGAGACCCTGTTCTCTCCCAAGAAAGCTCCAGGGAGAGGGGCCCTGGGAGCTGCCTATCCCTGCTCCCACAGGAAGTGCTCCCTGGGGTCCTGCTGCCCCGATGGACATGGGACCCAAGGGGCACTAACTGGAGTCTCTTAGGACTTGTGAGTGGGGCCAGGTGACTGTGCTGCATCTCTGAGAGAGAAGCCAAGGGGACAGAGGACGTCTGGGCACATGAGGGAGCAGTAGGGTGGTGCTCCCAACTCATACACACATGGGAAGAGGGTCACTGGTCCACCCACTGCCCTGCCCACAGCGGCCCCTCCCTCAGCAGAATGCAGCCTCCAGGTTACACATGTGCCTCTCAGGTCAAGGGCCTGCGTTCGAGTCCCAGCTCCTGGTAGTATAGTGGTTACCCATTGGGCTGCGACCCAAAAGGTCCAGAGTTCAAAACCACCAGCCTCTCTGAGGGAGGAAGTTGGTTCTTTGCCCTCCCGGAAAGAGTCGCGGTCTCAGAAACCCACCGGGGCAGTGCTACCCCGTCTGGCATGGTGTCTGGGGGCCTCACAGAGATGTAATGAGACCCTGGTGGGTAAATAAGGCTCTTAGAATAGTGGCTAGCTTGAAAAAGAAACATTTCCCCCCACAGGAGCCCTGGGGGCGTCAAGGGGAGGCTAACCAGGAGGTGAGCAGTGCAGTCACCAGCCGCTCCATGGGAAAAAGATGATACTCCTGCAAAGATTCAGACTCAACCACTCCCAGGGGCACTTCCACTCTGTCCTAGAGGGCCATGCGCCGATGGCAGGGCCTTTTTCAGAGTTTGTTTTTTTGCAACGACAGGACCCCAAGTGAGGGAAACTGACACCCAACAGGGCGGCCTTCTGGAAGTCTCTTTCCTCGCTGGGGACCAGGCCCCACTCACTGCAGGCCCCGTGGTTCCCCGTGCGAACCTCCTCGAGCCCTGACTCCAGCCCCTCGGAGCTGGGGTTCCCCCCACCGCCCCCTGGCCTCACCTGGATTTTCCGCTGATATATCCTGTTTTCAGGATGATCCCGAAGAATGGATAGGATGTCACATTTCTCTGATATCAGGTGGAAGGATGTTTCGCTCTGAAAGACAAGGAGGCGGCAGCGGGTGGGACCCGGGACAGGCCGGACGCTCCGAACAGCGAGCCCACCGCGGCAGAATGCGGTGGCCTTGCCCTGGCCGGCCTGCATGTGGACGCAACCCCTTTGCTGGAGGCAGTCCTGAAGCCCCGCTCCCCCTGCCGGATGGCCAGCATCCCCAGCACGCAGAGGTGCTCCTGGTCACCGGGACTCCCAGGTCCTACCTGCCAAGCAGACTTACTTTATAGAATACCTCTCCGGGCCCTAACAGTTTGGTGGTTTGAGTGGCCAGCCGCTCCCCAGGAGAAAGGTGAAGAGCCCTGTGGGGCAGCCCCACTCTGTGCTGTGGGTCGCTAGGAGTTGTGGTAATGGGGTCACTTCTGAGCTTAAGAAGCCTTTATCTCTGTCCCCAACTGTCCTCCCTGTCTTGTCCACCCTCCAACTCCTGTGCCGGCCTCACGGGCCAGGTACTGTGTTGAATGCTGGAAACAGAGGAGTTAGGGTGGGCTCGGGTGGGCCCGGCCCAGTAGGGCTCCCTATTCATCGGGGAGAGCAATTTCCACACAGCCTGGTAAGGTCTCCGCTGGGGAAGCTTTCCCTGGCCCAGCAGACTGCAAGGGGAGAGCAGTCTCATGTGCCCCCTGCTGGTGGAAGGCCAGAATGCAGCCCGGCTGGGCATCTTGGCGGGGAGGAGGGCAGTCAGGAGGAAGCTTGCAGGCCAGGCTGCAGAAGGCCTCTGTCTGCCAGCCATTGTCTCTGCCAAGTGCCAGGGGAAGACCCGCTCCCTCCACCTGCCTGGGCACCGCTCTGCTTTCAGCATGAAGGTAGAGGAGGAGAGAGCTGGCTTTGGGGCCCCTTACAGCTGATAAAGCCCAGTGCTCGCCTGCCTGGTCCCAGGGCGCTCAGGAAGGCTGCTGTGAATTGGGATTTTGTAAACGGAAGTCTCATTTTCCACCACGTATCAGCCCTGGTGGTGTTGTGGCTACATGTTGGACTGTGATCGCATGGTCAGTTGTTTGAAACTACCAGCGGCTCCTCGGGAGAAAGACTGGGCTTTCTCTACC